TTTTTTTTTTTTTTGAGACGGAGTATTGCTTTGTCACCAGGCCAGAGTGCAGTGGTGCGATCTTGGCTCACTGCAACCTCCGCCTCCCAGGGTCAGGTGATTCTCCTGCCTCAGCCTCTTGAATAGCTGGGACTACAGGCACGTGCCACCACGCCCAGCTAATTTTTGTGTTTCCAGTAGACACGGGGTTTCACCACGTTGGCCAGGATGGTCTCGATCTCTTGACCTCATAATCTGCCCACCTCAGCCTCCCAAAGTGCTGGGATTACAGGCATGAGCCACTGTGCCTGGCCAATGTTTTTAACTTTTTAAAAATGAGGGCCATGGTGAGTCACACTTGTAATGCCAGCAATTGCTTGAGCTCAGGACTTCAAGACCAGCTTGGGCAGCACAGCGAAACCCTGTCTCTACCAAAAATACAAAAATTAGCCAGGCATAGTGGCGCACACCTGTAGTCCCAGCTACTCGACAGGCTGAGGCAGGGGGACTGATGGAGCCTGGGAAGTTGAGGTGCAGTGAGCCACGATTGCACCACTGCACTCCAGGCTGGGTGACAGAGCAAGACCCTGTTATTGATTTACTCCTTCATAAAAATAGATAATTAAAAATGAGATGGGGTCTCATTATGTTGCCCAGGCTTGTCTCGAACACCTGGGCTCAAACATTCCTCCCTCCTCAGCCTCCCAAAGTACTGGAATTATAGATGTGAGCTACAGATGCCCTGCCCACAGATTAATATTAACAATTTTCTAACATTTTTAGTCATAAAAATCCCTTATTTAACTTTAGTGATTTACTGAAACATACTAACTATGCACTAAGTACTAGGATACTAAATGAACACATGGTTTCTTTACTCAGAAACTATCAGTCTAGTTGAGAATACAAACATGTAAATTGAAATTGTGCAATAATCTGATAGCTATCCTCACATAGGTAATACTAAAGCCCCATTAAAAACTGGCAGAGGTGACAACCAATTCCACCTTAATGACTAACGAAAGGTTTCATTAGGAAGTGATATTTAAACTGAACCTTAAGAACCAACTGAAGCTTGAATGGCAGATAACCAAAAGGTGGAGGGAGGTGGAGGAGGCATTCCATCGGAGATAGAACAACATGTGCAAAGAACAAAATCACAAAAGGGAATGGAGTATTTATGGAAAGGTGACATGTTTCATTTGGCTGAGGTACAACTTACCAGTTTCAAGGTAGGGGATGACTCCTGTATATACTTCCTGATAAACTCCTGGCCAACCCCCTCTTTTCCATGTTTTGTCTCAAAGTAATTTTTAAATTTGCTGATCTTTTAAGACCATTTAAGCCCCAAAAAACTCACAAAAAGATATGTTCACACAGAAATTATCAAGGCTAATTATTATTCCTTTCTTAACTGTATTCTGCTACATATCTTCATAAAAGATAACTAGTCAAATATAAATAAAATCTTCCCATTATTCTCCAATAGTATAAATCCACTAGATCTACAATAAGCAAAAATCAACAGAAGCAACTTAAAGAATCAATCTTAATAAAGAACAAATGAAAAGTCATTAAATATATATCAAGTCTAAGCTGCCATTTTTTTTTTAACTTTTATTTGTCTGGGCGTGGCGGCTCACACCTGTAATCCCAACACTTTGGGAGGCTGAATCATTTGAGGTCAGGGGTTCGAGACCAGCCTGGCTAACATGGTAAAACCCTGTCTCTACTAAAAATTAAAAAAAATTAGCCGGGCAGGTGGTGGGTGCCTGTAATCCCAGCTACTGGGAGGCTGAGGCAGGAGAATCTCTTGAACCAAAGAGGCGGAGGTTGCAGTGAGCTGAGATTGCACCACTGCACTCCAGCATGAGCGACTGAGCAAGACTCCACTGGAAAAGAAAAAAAAAACTTTTATTTTAGGTTTGGGGGTATGTGTGAAGGCTTGTTATATAGGTACCACATGTCATGGGTTTGTTGTATGTATTATTTCATCACCCAGGTATCAACCCCAATACCTGAAAGTTACCTTTTCTGCTTCTCTCCCTCTTCCCATCTTCCCTGCTCAAGTAGACCCCAATGTCTGTTGTTTCCTTCTTTGTGTTCATAAGTTCTTATCATCTAGCTCCCACCTATAAATGAGAACATGTGGTATATGGTTTTCTTTTCCTGAGTTAGTTGCTAGGGATAATGACCTCCAGCTCCATCCATGTTCCTGCAAAAAACATGATTTCGTTCTTTTTTATGGCTGCATATTATTGCAAGGTATATATGTACTACCTTTTCTTTATCCAGTCTGTCATTGATGGGCACTTAGGCTGATTCCATGTCTTTGCTATTGTAAACAGTGCTGCAATGAACATTCATGCCCATATGCTTTTATGGCAGAATGATTTATACTCCTCTGGATATATACCCAGTAATGGGATTGCAGGGTCGAATGATAGTTCTGCTTCTATAAGCTATTTTCTAAGTAAAAGTGTTATAAGCAACTTAAATAACAGCCGTTAGCACCTGTTTAGACAATGAATAATATATGCTAGAAACATTAGGTTGTTAATAACTCTTTTAAGAAAAGTTTGATATAAGTTGACTGTTTGGAACTCCTTGTTATAGGCCAGTATTATGAAGGAGGACTGAGTCTCAAGCCAAAATAAGGCCCAGTCTACTACATAATTCAGAATATAATAGAGCCAAGTTGAACTACTGAACACTACAGAATGAAAATATGGTTTCTTTCTAAAAGTAAATGCCAAGTTCTAACCAGTCATGATTGATACATATCTTCCCCTTTGCCAATCTTTCAGTACTTTCCTCTGCTCCCTTTAGCACTTTCCTCTCTCAGGAATGGGCTAACAAGTTGAGACAGGCTTTTATAGAATGTACAAAGACTTAAGGGAAAATAAAATCTGACAGCTGGGGTAAGGTAGTAATACACAGATTAACAATAATGTATCGACAAATGTTAACAGTCACTACATCTGGCAGTTAATTATGACTTTTTTACTCCATTTTTAATTTTCCTTATTTCAAAATTGATACAGAAGTATCCTGATTGAAAATAAAATGTTCCCAAGTGTTAAAAACCATTATCTCTGAAGTTAATACACATAATTTTTCTATAATGACATGTAGGTTCTTTAGTTTTGTTAATCTTCAAAGTACAGACCCCACAGGTAGCAATAGCTTATGGGATCTCTGAAAGAAGGCAAATGGAAACTACTGCTCTAAGTAGAGGTCTGTAAATAGGAAATGTCTCTGGCAGATAGTGAGATAATGATAAATTCTGTGCATTCTGAGCTTGACAGTCTTCAGTACTTAATATCAAATCTTATTAAAATGTTACTTAAGATAACATCCTATGAAGCTATAAAATCATAAAAGGAAATGACAGTTTGAATCTCTATTTTTGGTAAAACACTTCTCATTTAACACTATTTTATTTTGGATTAAAATTAAGATCCAGGGAATAATTTAATGTATGCATTTCCTTTTTATGATATTGGCTCTGGAGCTATTAATACACTGACTGATCAAACCAATTACATCTACAGAGTAACAGATTTGAAGAAATTATATGTGAGAACTTTTACCCAAAAGTATAACCCAAAACAAGCTGTACCTTAAACCAAATACAGCAGGTCCTCAAATAACATCATTTCCTTCTATGTCATTTTGTTGTAACAGTTAAGTATGTGTGGAGCTCACACATTCTCTCCTCATCTATGGAACTCTGGTTTCCTCCTATATCACAAAACAGTGCACATTAGGTTCACCAGCGTGTTTAAGTTGTCCTGGGATGAATGTGAGTGTGTACATGAGTGTACCCCATGATGGGATGGCCTCCTATCCAAGGTAGGTTCCTCCCACCTTGAGCTGCTGGGATTGGCTTCAGCCAGCAGGACCCCACACTAGAATAAGAGGGTTGGTAAAAATGAATTAATGAATACAAATTAGCATTGAATAAAAATTGGTAAAGTCTAGGGTAATCATACAAATGCATGACAATAAATGCTATGGCACAAAAGCACTCAGAGATTTCACTGTATTTGAATTGGTTTTGATCTGCATGGAGTTGGAAGTGCTCCTGACAATTTTCATTTCTCAATCATTGATTCCATTATTTTATTCAACCACCACAACCACTGTCATTCACTGATTCACCAAATACTGGGTAATTATCTTTGGTGGCTTTTTTTTTCTTTTGGAGACAGAGTTTTGCTCTGTCACCCAGGCAATTGTACAGTGGTACAATCTGGGCTCATGGCAACCTCTGCCTCCCAGCCTCCAGCAATCCTCCCGAGTAGCTAGGATTACAGGTGAATGCCACCAGCCTGGATAATTTTTGTATTTTCAGTAGAGACAGGGTTTCATCATGTTGGCAAGGCTGGTCTCAAACTCCTGCCTTCAGCGATCTGCCCACCTTGGCATTCCAAAATGCTGGGATTACAGGTGTGAGCCACTGCATCTGGCCTATCTGGTTTTTATTAATCTTTCTTAAATGTATATATAGTTCATATTTCTTTCAACATTTAATATTAGAAGTGTTCGGGGTCTTTATTGAGAAGTTTGGTGATGTTTTTTTGACCAGAAATATGCCATAGGAACTTAACTCTTGTTTACATCAATCAGCCTAGAGTAAAAATGGTTTCATTATAGTTGTTTTGCATAAAGTCATGGTTTTCAGGAACCTATGGATGACACTGAGGATTACTGCAATACTTCTAGTAAATCTGGCAGAAAAGGCAAAGAATGAAGTTACTACTACTAACACAAATGAGACTGTCATGGTGCGCCCCATCAAAAAAGGAGAGAAAGACAGATACAAAGGAACACACGCACGTGCGTGCTCTCACACACATACATACACACACACACACGTACATGCACAAGCACCAGAAACATTTGATGTTATAAATACAACAGTGCTGAGAAAGATGAATTAATGAAAAATTGTATTTTTTGTTCTGAGAATAGGTTACATATATGATTCTAATCCATTTATTATTTTTACATTCAAGGCTACCTAAAAGAAGACAGTTATCTCATATTTGGCTGCCAGCTTTTTCTTTCTCTTGACCGCTTAAAACTTCAGACTTCCTCTCCTGTTGGTGTCATGGAGAAAGTCCAATACCTCACTCGCTCAGCTATAAGAAGAGCCTCAACCATTGAAATGCCTCAACAAGCACGTCAAAATCTACAGAACCTATTTATCAATTTCTGTCTCATCTTAATATGTCTCTTGCTGATCTGTATCATCGTGATGCTTCTCTGAAGTTCTGCTACAACCTCTAGAGCTGCAACTTACCACATCAGCTTAAAATTTGTCATCCCATGCAGACGGAAAACAATACTGTGTAACATACCACTTCCTGAGTAGAAGAGTTTCTTTGTGAAAAGGTCAAGATTAAGACTAAAACTCATTAGTAGCACATGTATTCATCTGCTGGATCTTGTAAACATGAAAAGGGCTTTATTTTCACAAAATAATCTTTTAAAAGGTATATAAAATTTACCTGTTGATTTCCTCAACATGGCTCACAAATTTCTATCCCAAATCTTTTCTGAAGATAAAATAATAGTTCTGAAACTGCACTGCCAACAAGTTCACTTCATATGTAAAGCATTATTTTTACTCTTTTGAGGTAAATATAATTTATATTACACTGTAAAAGTTTCTTTAGTATTAAGTATTTTTCAGGTCTTCACCAAGTATCAACGTAATAATACAAATGCAGTGTCATTATTCAAAATGGTCCACTAACTCCTTATATCTGCTATCTTATTATAAAAAACTCTTTGTAGTAACTACCAGTATCTATCTATATTCTAAAACAGAAATTGTATTTTTTCTATGCCACATTAACATTTTTTAAAGTTGATGAGAATCAAGTATGGCAAAGTAAGGCCATACTCTTACATAATAAAATTCCTCTTAAGTAATTTTTTCAAAGAATTACAGAATTCTAGTCCATGTAAGTAAACCATAAATCTGCTCTAAGATATTATGATCAACAGACGAGAATTGGTGGTTAACATCTGACAGTGTGATTAGTCATAATCACTAATGTACTAACAGAATAGAATCTAATCTTCCTTTAAGGCACTGTAGTGAGTTACCTGAGCTGGAGTTACCTAACTTGCCATGTCTATGGAATCATGAAACCGTAAGACTTCAGAATTATTTTACAGTTTGTTTTCTATTCAATCCTAACATCCAATGCAGGCAAAGAAAATAATAAAAGATTTCCAGTGACAGAAAAAGGTTATCTCAAGTATTTAAAAAAATAAAAATATGAATTTTCTCTCCAAATATTAACTAATTTTTAGATTACATTTTGAAATGAACTTGTTGGTCCAACTATTATATCTACAGCTGACCCTTGAATATGGGGGTTGACAATCCGTGGGTCCCCAAAAATCTTAACTACTAATAGCCCACTATTGACCATAAACCTTACTAATAACATAAACCGTAAATTAACACATATTTTGCATGTTATGTGTATTATATACTCTATTCCTACAATAAAGTAAGCTAGAGAAAAAAATCTTATTTAGAAAATCATAAGAAAGAGAAAATATATTTACTATTCATTAAATGGAAGTGGGTCAACATAAAAGTCTTCATTCTCATTGTCTTCACATTGAATAGGCGGAGGAGAAAGATGGGAAGGAAGAGAAGGGATTGGTCTTGCACTCTTGTCTTAGGGGTGTGGGGAGTGGGGGAAAAGAAAATTCATGTATAAGTGAACCGTCTCAGTTAAAGTTCTTGTCATTCTAGCATCAACTATAATAGGATATAGCTATTTTCCTTAATCTATCAATTAAATGGTAAACATCTATTTTGTAGGCCACTCTACTAAGCTAAATTATAGGTCTAACAATGCTATCTATAACTATTTTCTTGATGAATAAATTTTCAATTTCTCCTCTGATCATTTCAGAACATCTTCCAATAACTCACAAAACAACTGAAGTAAAATTTAGTGCTGGCAAATATATTCACCAAAATTTGGTAATTTAAGGTGACTAAAGTTTAAAATTTAGTCTAAACTGTATAATTCAACAATTTTAATTCCAACTGAAGACAGGTTACTAATATAACTATTATTAAAAGGGCAGAGGATATGTAATTAACCATATCCTCTAAAACATGGTTACTAAAAGAATATGAAGCATCAATATTGATCTTAGTTTCTTATACAAGTGCTGCTAACTGAATAGTGAAGGAGAGATTATTAAATTTTCTGGAAACATGAGAGGTACTAGAGATGGAAGTGGAAAAGGTTTGGTTCAGGGATACCTGAATAACCGATAGGCAGAGATTTCTTAAGTGAAGCCTCATCTACAAGTTGGAAATCCCTAATAACAAGTACAAAGCTTATAAACAACAGGTAATACACTCACCTTACTGGTTTTAGTAAATTACCAATACAAAAAGTATCCAAGTTCTATAATAAGCTGCACTGGTCTTAAAAACAAGTGGATAATTTGAACTGATTAGTCATAGTCCTTTCATTACATTGCTCATTACAATATTTTCCTCAGTGAACAGAAATAAGTATTTTTTTTTGTTCTTCATTCTTTGATAGAAATTAAAATCTTACTTTGTGAGGATTACAGAATACTACACTATAACTCAAACTAAAAAAATATAAAGCCGGGCGCGGTGGCTCAAGCCTGTAATCCCAGCACTTTGGGAGGCCGAGGCAGGTGGATCACAAGGTCAAGAGATCAAGACCATCCTGGTCAACATGGTGAGACCCCCGTCTCTACTAAAAATACAAAAAAAATTAGCTGGGCATGGTGGCGCATGCCTGTAATCCCAGCTACTAAGGAGGCTGAGGCAGGAGAATTGCGTGAACCCAGGAGGCGGAGGTTGCGGTGAGCCGAGATCGCACCATTGCACTCCAGCCTGGGTAACAACAGTGAAACTCTGTCTCAAAAAAGAAGTTTATTTTCAGAGGACATAACAGAATACATAAAACACTCCCAAGTTATAAAACCTTTTCATTATTATTTCATGTTAGACAAAAACACAAGTCATTTTACTTTAATTCATTTAATCAGTTTTTTTCTTTAATCAACAGACAGGGTGGTTACTCTGTCATGCAGGCTGGAATGCAGACACATGATCATGTTCACTGCAGCCTTGAACTCTTGGGGCACAAGAGATTCTCAAACCTTGGTTCCCAAGAATCTAGCACTACAGGGGTACAGCACCACATATGGCTAATTCTTTTTATTTTTTGTTCAGATGGGGTCTCACCAGCCCAGGCTGGTCTCATACTCATGTCCTTAAGCTATCCTTCCCCTGTCAGCCTACCAAAGTGCTAGGATTACAGGGGTGAGCTACCATGCTTCATTCAAATTTTTGATTCATATAAGGGAAAATCTCTAGTAAAATATGTTAAAACCAATAGGTGCCAATACCATAACTGTTCAAACCCCTTATGACTAAATAGGCACAAAATTTCATCTTTTTAATGATTGCCCCCTGAAGTTCAGAAACATCTTAGGGGAAAAAGGATAAACAACTTTGTCAATAAACAGACTATTATTTCACTACTGCTGGGAGATCCATCGTGGGCTTAAAGGAATCCAATGGATACTGCCATTATGTGTAGAAGTGTTTATCCTCCACCCCTTCCACCCTACCTTCCTCAAGAAAAGAAACCCAAGGGGGCCATGGAAAGGGAAGGATTCTTCTCAAAGAGAACACCAGACTTCTTTTTCTCCTCTGTCCCAGTCCTTATAGAGTCAGGTAGCTTAAGGGTTGCAGGGGATGGGGAGCAGAAGTGTGATGTACTACAGAGTAAAGAGTCAAAGACTAGCAGTGGGCATTATATATGGAGCCCTCTATCATAAACCATCTGAGGGTATAATGACTTCTCTTCATTCACAAAGGAAAATGTTTCGGAGTACTACACTCCTGCACTCTTGATAATTTAGCCAAAAACCATGGAAATCAAAGAGAAACACACACATAGGAATGTATGGCTGGCTCGATAATTATTCTGGACTGAGTCCTAAGAAGAGCAAACCTTTAATGTTACAAATTAACCTGGGGAGTGGGGAGCTGTGAGGATCAAATGAGATAAAACACTGTGAAAGCTACAGAATTCCATAATACATAAATCTATGGTTTTATTAGATCACGACTTTCAGGCAAATTCCTTTTCTTAGTTGTAAAAACACTGTTTTTTCATGGTGAGTGTTTAAAAGCTGTGCTTGAAAATCATAATTTATCAGATGAGCTGATAGCTGATCCTTATTAAGGTTCTTCTCTTTACGTAAAAATTAGATGCAAAGAGTGTTTTTACATTTAATTTTTGTTTTTACGTAAATCGGTGTTTCTAAGATTTTTATCTTTTTTCCTTTTCAGAGACGGGGTCTCGCCATGTTGCCCAGGCTGGTCTCAAACTCTTGGACTCAGGCGATCCTCCCGCCTTGGCCTCCCAAAGTGCTGGTATTACAGGCACGAGTTATAGTGCCTGGCTGGAAGTCAATGTTTCAAAGAGGCTTTTAAGAAACAACCATGATGAAAGCTTTTAAAATAAAGAAAATATTATTGGGGGCTCCAAGAAGGTATTTAACTTTTTTCTGTAGTTTTCCAAGGAGGAAATTAGAAGGGAAGCAGTCATTTAATCATTACAACTTAAGTTTGTCTAGTTTTCTTTACTTGAATTCATCTTTCTACTCCAAAACTTTTAAAAGCACTATAAAAAGACCATCCCAATAAAGTTAATCAAGAAGTAGGACTTTCCAAGGATATGTAAATTTTGCTTGTTAGTAGCCTTCTCTCTCTACTATGCACCAGGAAGAAGATTTAAAAACAAATTTTTCTCTAGTGTGTCCCCAACCTCCATACCGTCTTCTGCACTGCTTTAACGTTAAGAAATCTTAACACCTTGTTTAAAGCAGAGGTTTGTCCAAGCAGAATTAAAGGTGTGCCCAATTTTCTCAGTTACCTATCACACCTACTCTAGTTTGGAATAGTATACTCAGACCCACTGGATAGCTCCAATTCTGTGCAAAGATGCCAGCTAGGGAAACAACTGCCTGATCTCAGTTTTCCTGTAATAACAAACATTTGAAAACTAAAACATGATAGTATTTGAAAAATTAGGTTTCCTATTTTTAATCACTTGAATGGATAAATCACAAATTTGTAATTCGATCATAGTGATTCTTCTGTTTTGATTATGTGGTTTAAGTACATAATCAAAATTATAAGAACTGGGTCTAAAATAAGAATAAAAAAGGCACATGCGATATGTTAAGGGTTCTCCTATGAATGTAGCATGTTAGGTTCTATGTTTTGGGATCATACGCAGATTTGTGAGGTTCCTAGATAAGTGATTTCCTTATCCTTTCATAGACTATGTTCATTTATTCTATTTGTTTTTATTAGTAGTAGTAATGAATAGCAATTTTACATTTTTATTCTAGGGAAAATTTGTAATTTTTAATAGAATTGTTTGAGAAAATTCTAATGATAAAAAACAGATGACAGTGTTTCTATCAGAAAATTAGTTTCCTAGTTAAAACAAGCTACAAAAAATTATCTTGAAATAGAAACACACCCAGATTAAGAAATTTACACATGTACATGCTATTCCCTAGACCAACTGGGGGCTGTATACTATTTTTCTTCATATAGGATATCATCATACAGTTCTTTCTATAAAACTGATTAATGAATAAGTCTTGACACATAATTTTTTAAAAAAACAAGTATATCTGATTTATAAACCTAAATACATTATCAATCACCAAAACTTCACAAATGACTGTAGTTCTACTTCTCACTGTACAGATGAAGAAACTGAGGCCCAGAGAAATTAAGTGACAAAAATCACCCAGGTTCTAAATGGAACCAGAAACAAAATCTAAGACCTTATATGGCCAAATTGATGCACCCTTTCTATTAAACCTATTCTAGCTTTTTTGTTTCCGTTTCCAAGTTTCTTTAGATTGAGTATGTTTTGCTTTATTTTCATGCCCATTGAACAAACGAAAAGGAAATAACAAGTTAGGCAAAAGGTTTCAAGATTTTCATGTTAATTAGTCTCAAATGCTGTATAAGTTTTGTTTATCAACACATTTTTCAGGTAACATTTCTGCTTATTAATGTGCAGGGAAAAGTAAAACTATCTGTGGACACTTGTCATATGCTTACTGTAAGTGTGCTATTGTACTCATAACATCCACTGGAGGGAAGCAAACACTAGATATTGAGCCTTACCTGCATTGGTGTTTCACTTCCTTGCTGAAACTCTTCAATTTGCTGCTGTTGCCAAGGAGCTAAACTGTAAGAATCTTCTGTAGTTCTACCTTCCAAAGGATTTGTCCGCAGCTGCTCTGTAAGCCACATCTGAGTCCTTACAGAAGGCTGAATGGGAACTCCACCTACTGATTGTTGACCAAGCATTAAATATTTTGGAGGTTCAAAGGCCTCTGAGCTTGTCATAATGGGCTTGCTTTCAGGTAAGGCACTGTATGTCATGTCCACAGTCTGCCTCCTCAGAGTAGAGGAAGAGGCTCTGAAGTCCTCCTTGCTACAGCTCTCAAATTTATATTTGCAGTCTAAAGTTAATGACCTTTTTTTATTTATATCCTTGTCGTCTAACTTAAGCATCTCCATACTATCATGTAAACAGCTAGGCCCAACTGTCCTCAGTTGTGATATTAAAGCCTTAGCCATCCCTGTCTTTTCCAAACCATTCCTTAATTCTTCTCTGCGAATAGTGCTACCCTGGCCACAGTTATCCGGGGCAGTGAGCTTGGATAAAGATGACCATTTCCGAAGTGGCCGGAAGTCCTTCATGTCTAGTGAAGAGTCCTGCTCCCCCCTACTGTGCTTTCCCAGTGTTTGCATGAGGCTTGTACTCCATTTTGAGCCATCTGGTGTCAATGATTCCCTAAGTTTGGAAATTGAAGCGCTGGAATTAGACGGCATCACATGGGCAGTAGGAAGAGTAACCAGTGATTGACTAGGCTTAAAAGATAATGTGCCACTTGAAGTTGAATGATCTGGAAAGAGAAAAAGATTGCCAAATTAGTTACAATTAACAGACAAAAGAGAATGGGGCAAAATGTCAAAAGAAACATCTGAACATGGTTTCAAAGCACAAACTTTTTTTTTTCTCCCTTGAGACAGAGTTTCACTCTTGTCACCCAGGCTGGAGTGCAGTGGCATGGTCTTGGCTCACTGCAACCTCCGTCTCCCAGGTTCAAGAGATTCTCCTGCCTCAGCCTCCCAAGTAGCTAGGATTACAGACGGGCCTGCCACCACACCCAACTAATATTTTGTATTTTTAGTAGAAATAGGGTTTTGCAATGTTGGGCATGTGATCTCCTGACCTCAGGTGATCCACCCACCTCAGCCTACCAAAGTGCTAGGATTACAGGCAACCACAGCCAGTCAACACAACCTTTTCAAAAATACTTCCTCAAAATTAGGAAATCACTATTATTCTTTTATCTAATACAAGTCAATATACTTTCAAGTTGAATTTTCTAAATATGGATACATGATAAAGTATATGGTCTTTTACCATCTACTGTACTTACAGGTGAAAAATGATTTAAAATAGATTCAAATTTACTCAAAGTACTGTGCCTTCATAAGGAAAAATCCAACTTCTTATTGAGAGGTCTTATTCATAATCCAGCAATGAAGTCTCAGACACAACTCTATCAAAAAAATGATATTTTTCTGTGTCTTTCCCAAACTGTGGAAATCTATGCCAGATGTGAACATTTTAGAACCTCCCCAAACAATTTAAGTTCAAATGAAAAATATGAGTAAAGGTGCTCCTGCAATAATGAAAAATAGTGCCAAAGGGTTCACTTCTAGTCTCACTTAATGGGTGCGTGTGCGTGCGTGCGTGTGTGTGTGTGTGTGTGTATGAATATATGTGTGCATATATATTCATATTCACCCCAAGCTAGAACCTTAGCATCTACTTTGATTCCTTTATCTTTATATTTATTAAATCCCCCAAGTTGTACATTCTTACCTCCAAAATAATTTAATTTCTATTACCTTAAGTCAGGCCTTCACATCATACTCTTCTATACAAATGAATAGTTTTAGTATACTAAATGAAAGGCTAAAAGATAAAGCCTTACATACTCAACAAATTTACCATTAAGTGCCATGTTATCATCTTATATATCAAACTAAAACCAAAGACTATAATTTTGTAATCAAGGGATATCTAGAAAGGGGGTAGCAGTTTAAACTGGTATGTGTCGGGGTGGGGGGAGGTGAGAGATGAAGACTTCAGCAATTTATTCTCCATCTCCCCACACTGTTTGACTCTTACACCAGAATATACTTAATACTTGTGTTCTCTGATACTGTCTTACAGGAAAAGATATGTTGGTAAAGTTGTAAGAAAATTCAGATAAAAAAGAGTCAGGCAGACTAACTCAAAAAGTAAAATTCCAGTAGGTCTTTGCACAGAATTTGTTAACCTGGAGATGAAAATGGAAAAACATTACAGATGAAAAAATATGAGCAAAAGTATTATAGTAGATATTTATCATATTCAAAACTGCCTATCAGCTTCTGAAGAAACTTCCTGCATTTAGGAAAGTTCTCACATTACTGACTCCAACCTTCCAAAATATATTTCAAACCTAAAAATCCCACTATACCCGGCAACTATGATGCAGACATTCACAGGCACCAGCACAAGATTGCAGTTTGGAAGTAAGTCACATGATAAAATGGACTTGATGTGGAGCTACCATTTTTGGGTGGTATAGGCAACAGCAGAAGCATCACGTTTCCACAACAGCAGTGATGGAGGTGGCCCCACAGTGGCTATAGAATCAAAATTCCTATCCCAGAACGGGCAGCAGCTAGGCAGCTTGGTGGCGCAAGACTGACAGTTCTCATATATTATTTGAGGCATATTACTTGGAAGCTTATCCTTAATCCTGGTTCTCCAGCCTTCCTAAAAATTCTGTGAGGTACCAAATATCCTCAAATTTCCTATGTGCTCAGTCAGCCAGTAAACAACTTCTGCTGATTAAAAACACTGAATGATCCAATCGTGAAGCCAAGAGAATGTGGTTGTACAAAAAGAAAAATAAATCCATGTATCTATAGTATGGAGTTAAAGTGTCAAGAAAAGTTGTCGAGGTAACTCTTGATAGGTAAAGGTGAAGCAAAATTACACATCGGTGAAGCAGAATTATACACATCTTCAAACACTCTGCTAAGTAAAGAACCCAGCCTTCACTCAGCATGAAACATAATATCACTGAGTTTCTAAACAAAGGAGTGAATGGCATGATCAAAATTGTACTTAAGATGATTATTCTGACAGCAGAGTTGCCAATGGATTAAAGCAAAACAACTGGCAAACACAGTGATTAACAGACTACTCTGGTAATCAGGAGAAAAGAAAATAAAGGAGAATATGCTACTGAGGGTTGCTTCTAAATAGAAATAGGACAGATGTCTCCAAAAGTTTATGGAACATTTGTATTCACATATTACAGCATTATATATTTTGACATATATTTGTATTAATATTCCTAAAGGAATATTTATACTAAAATTATCATAGCATCTAAATGATATCCCTAAATTTAAAAAAAATTAAAAATTAGTCTTATATCAAGTTGCAGATAAAAATATAGAGCTAAGGCTAAGTTTAACAATTTTGATTTCAAAACTATTATATGGAGTAAAATATAGGGCAGGGTGCAATGACTCACACCTGTAATAGCACTTTGGGAGGCCAAGGCAGCAGATTACTTGAGGTCCAGAGTTCAAGACCACCCTGAGCAACAACAGTGGAACCTCATCTCTATTAAAAATACAAAAATTAGCCAGCTACTCAGGAGGGTGAGGCAGGAGAATTGCTTGAATCTGGAAGACAGAGGTTGCAGTAAGCAGAGATCATGCCACTGTACTCCAGCCTGGGCAACAAAGCTAGACTCTGTCTCAAAAAAAAAGAAAAAAGTAAAAGTAAAATATAGAGCCTTTTTAGATTCAAATTTAACAGTTGCCTCCTCCACAGAGTGGAGATGACAACAGTGAGAATTAAATAAACCAATATACATAAAACACGCAGAAGAATTCCTGGCAGAAAGCAACATGTTAGTTATTATTATGTCATTAAAAAGCTACAAGTAAATATTATTTTCAATAAAACAGACAAAGGCTAAATATTCACACATATAAAGAGCTCCAACAAATCAACAAAAAACCCTAGCAACTCAATTTTAAAATAGGCCTAAAAAAAAAAATCAATAAGCAAATCAAGCAAGAAACACAACTAGAGAATATATAAAAAATAATCCTCAAACTCACAAATAGTAAAAGTACATTCTCTATCATAGTCAGAAAACTATTAAAGACTGCACTGATGGGAACATGAACTGCTATAGTCTTTGGAAGAAGAGGTAATTTGTGCATACCAATGTTTAAAATATGAATACACATAAGTGAACAGAAATAAATGTGTGCATATCTATATATAAATACATATACATTCATTAGCAGAGAAAAGATCTAGAGAAATACACCCAAAACTTAATAAACAAAGGTAACCTCTACATAGTGGAAAAAGGACAAAAAGAGAAAAATACTTCCTCATTTTACTTTATACAATGACTTATTTTAATCACTTTCCAAGGAATATAACTTTACCATGTGGTCAAAATTCTGCAAAGGTATTTTGTTGTTCTATGACCTCAAAGAGTTTAAAACACTTCTAAAGTATGAATAATAAGTAGGTAATTGTCTCACTTCCCATGTCACAGCCATATCTTCTAAGACCCAATTTGGCTGCTTCTTGAATCTGATAATGTGCTACTTTCCTCTCTGCCTTTTCTAACTCAGTACTTTCCAAATGCACAGAAAAATCAACGATGAGTGAAAAATCAATTTCACATCAGACTAGTGTTTATTCCCTCAACCTGAAAGGTTGATATATGCTGCTGTCCATAGACTATTACACTGAATATAGAATTTATTCCTAAAATTCCCTTATTACAAATTCTCAAATCTTAGCATTAAAAAAGATACCTGAGAGCTGGTGCCCTACTCCAAGAGATTATGATTCAGTAAGAATAGGGAAGGACCTAGAAAATATAACTACTAAATAAGTTATTCTGCTGTTTCATTTAAATAACATCATTCTATCCATTTGGATCGGATTACAGTTCTGAAGGCTTTAAGCTTAAATATCTTAAGTTCAAACACAACCAGTATCTGAGTTCTAGTGTAAAATCTGATTAACTGTGACATTCAGATACTTTTTTTTTTACTAAGGATCAAAGCTTAGTCTATTCACACACATATGCACACACAACACGTAAATAAATGAAAAAAGAATTAAATATTTGAAAGAATTATATATTTAGTATTTATAGGAGGATTAAATGTAAGAATTTAATTCTTATATTTAATTAAATATAAGAGGGGAGGGGGAAGGGTCATTACATCTTAGACAGGAATGAGTCCAGAAGATGTCAACTTTAACAATTTTAACACTTAAAAATATTATTTTGCCCTAAGGAAACACAGTTAATTAGAAGTAGATATAATGCAATTCCTAATGTGTTTGATTAGGCTAACTAATTGCAGCCACAAATCCCAAATTCAAGTTATTACTACAGCATCAAGGTTACATCTAAGTTACAACAGTGATATCTGAAACCAACAGAGGGCAGACCTTTTAAAGACTCAAGAATATGGTTTATAGCATTGACAGTGGACATAGAAGAGCTAATGGTTTCAGGCAGATTTAAGTTTTTGAGGCCAGAATATGAGAAAAGAACATCACTATAACCTGATAATGCAAGTGAGTTATATTTAAAACATATTTCTCAATTCCAAACAAAACCCCAATTTTCTGTTTCACTGTCATGTTATTCTCATCTGGTAACAGATGAAACCATTGATTCTATCTTCTCTTATATACAGGGATGGTGTGTGTCTCTCTCTCTGCTCTATCCTTCTGATAGTAATAACGAACTAGATGCAAAAAGAGACCACTCCCTCCCAC